CCCCAAAACCCCAAAACCCCAAAACCCCAAAACCCCGAGATTCTGGCTGGAAATTGAATACTTATAAGCAGTCCTTCATAGACACTTCAAAATCACTGATGCTTGATTTACAGATGGGAGTGCCAAACAAGGTGTTCTGGCTTGCATCCTCGATCTTTACCTTGACGAAATCTCCAACTGAAGGGGATGTAAGATCTAAAGAACTTCCTGCTGAAGAAGTATAGTCTTTCCAGGATTCATGGACCTTAAGGCTGTTATCAATCACAACTCTTTTGTTGGTATCAGTTAAACCTGTGAATTGGGTATCACTTCTCTTACTAACCCCGTCGATAAGCATTAGGTGGTATTTTCCTACTTCATCCATTTGCTTAAGTAGCTGGTTCTTTTTGAATACATCAATCATTGCTCTGAGTCTTTCTTGCTTGACATCTTCTGGAACATTATCTTCCATTCTCCTGTGAGCATGAGTTCTCTCTCTAAGAGAATATGCAAACAGGTATGCAAGGTCATATTTCACTATTTCAAGCAATGAAAGTGTATCAGCAAATTCTTCATCGGTTTCATCACAGAATCCAGCAATGAAGTCACTTGAAAGAGCAATATTCGGGATCTTAGCTCTGATATTATCAACAAGTTCTAAGTAAGCCTCTCTAGTATGGTTCCTCCTCATTCTGAATAACATGTCAGTATTCCCACTTTGAGCAGGCAAGTGGATCTGGTTTCACAGGTTTGGCCTTTCAGCTATTATCTCTAGAACAGGATCTGGGAAATCCTTTGGGTGAGGAGAGGTAAATCTAAATCTCACCTCAGGAGCAATTGCAGATACTTTATCTAATAAATCAGCGAATCTTGCGCCTTCTCCTCCTCTAGTTTTGAATAATTCATTAAACCCTTCAGAGTTTTGATGCGAAGAGGTGATATCTTGAGACATCCTGTCGTGATAACTATTGACATTTTGACCAAGAAGAGTGATATCTTTATATCCCTGGTCTCTGAGTAGCTCTACTTCATTGACAATCGATTCGATAGGTCTACTTCTTTCTCTTCCTCTAGTGAATGGAACTATACAGAATGATCACATATTGTTGCAGCCTCTCATGATGGAGACCCAAGCATGGAGCCCATTTTGCTCTGTCCTGACTGGAATGATGTCTGCATATGTCTCATCAACAGAGAGTTGGACATTAATAGCCTTTGGTTTGTCTTCAACATCTTGGGAGCCACGAATTAGGTCAACAAGTCTTGGGATATCTCTGTAAGCATCGGGGCCTGCTACAATATCAACGATCTTATTATCAACAAGTTTTTCTTTGAGTCTCTCTGCCATACACCCAAGGATACCAATAATCTTATCGGGGTCTCTTTTCTTAAGTCCTTTGTACTCTGACTTGATCTTGTTCCAGATTTTGGTCTCAGCTTTCTCTCTGATTGAACAAGTATTTACGAAGATTAGGTCAGCTGCTTCTTTTCTAGCTTTAACTTCATTGTGGTCCAATGCTATTATGAATTAGACTAAAAGAGCTAGCTTACCAGGAGAGGTGTCAATAGGTTCATATCCTGCTTTCTCGAGGATAGCTTGAACAACTTCTGTATCAGCTACATTCATCTGACAGCCATAGGTCTCTATGAGATACTTCTTCCGGTCTCCTGCTGTGTAATCTGCAGGTGTCTCTGGGGCAACCCTCCTAGTTTTATTGAGAAATTCCACAATATTTGGAATGTTTTTGACTTTTTCCTTAACAGAGTCTTGAGTAGCCTCCGGCTTTGAGAAAGAAGCCCTGAATGGCTTAATTAAGTTCTTGTTTGCTAGGTTAAATCTTAGTTGGATTAATGAAACACTAAGCAAGGAGAGGTACAAGTTTGAGTAATTTGTAAATTTGGTATCGAGATTTGAGACAAAATGAAAAAATGAGATTAAGATGATTGCATGTTCTTAGAATTCAAACATTTAATTGCAAATAATTCTTTGAGAAAGTACTTTATCAATATACTTCGTCTAAAGTCTTTATTTTCATCATCTCGCTTAAAAATTCTCATTTCAAACCAAAACTTAATTCAAATTCATCTTTCATAAACCCATAACCACACCTATACTTCAAAATCTATTTCTATACCCTCTAAAATTACTCAAATCTATCTCACCCTTCTTCTAACTCTAATTTCCCTCTTTCTTTAAAATTACTTACTCTTGCCCCTTCCAATTCCCTTTAGCGCTTTCAAAAACATATTAATTTATTATGAGCCATGAATAAAATCTCTTAATTCTTCTTGGGGTTTTGGGGTTTTGGGGTTTTGGGG